TATTTCAAAGGTCATAACCTATTTCTCAAAAAGTTCAGGTAACTAAAAATTGATATAAAAATACTTATAAAACTGGCCCTGGTGGGTAAGCAAATTGGCAAGTCCTGCTTGTGACAACAACAATAGGGAAATTCAGTCTTTATGTAAATAAACACAAAACAATATAAACCTCATTTCCTTATTAAGTTTCTCAGCTTCAGTTATTTTGCTATAGTAACAAAAATGTTCTACTAAAAGTTACTTTAGGAAGCATATAATAGTCTTTCCTCTTTTGTTTGAGCAAAAAGTAGATTTCTATTAATTTTGATCCTTTCTCCAAATTGACTGAGACAAAGCTGCTGCTATTGACTTCCAAATTTCTTTCTGAATAAAAACATCTAGCAAGATTTGACTACTAGGGTCTTGAACAATATTGCACAAAAAATCTTGTGCAATTTGTACAATCTTGTACCAAAGCTTCCCTTTTTAAGTAACTAATACAGCTAACAAAAAATGAATTGCATAATAATGATGTGTAGACCATCATTTTTTTTCCTTCCTTTCTTTTTTTTTCTTTTAAATTCAAAGCATTAGAAAAAGTGCTTGTCGGCATAAAATGTTTTCTTTTCCTACCTCTATTTTGCCAAACTGTTTAAAGACAGGATTTTAATAGCAATAACCTCCTAATAAGAGTTAGAACCTTTGGCAGCAGGTGGTGCCCACCTCTGCCTACAGAATTCCAGCCCAAACAATCTGCTCAGAATTGCTGAAAAATCAATAAAATGTGCCTATGACTCAGCCTGTTAAGTAGGAGGGCTGTTATTGTTATTTTAACTCCTGTCAGCACAGGTGGGCATTTCTTCCTTTTGTGGTCTCTATTTAGCCGGGAGAGATCCCGCTTTAAAACTTCACCTGCAATAGGTTCTTGATCACAACAGCAGAATAGTTTGGGGCCGGGGTAGACTGCCCCGCCAGCTAATAGTACACACAGAAGAGGTTTTCACAAAAGCACATCTGATATCCTAATTTACCAGTAGAACTGAATTTCAGAATGATTAATCTGCCTGTAGCATGCTTTAGAAGGCTTAATCTGCCATGGACCAGAGCTCAGTGCTGATGAGGTGTTCATCAGTATGAGTCAAGGTGCTCATGAGTCAGAGGGGTGATGAAAATACCAGGCTTTCATTCTCTTTTCCTTGGCTGATATTGTGGGTGTTGTGGTCGTGCTGCTTGTTTTACTCTTGCCAAGTGTTCTCAACAATCTAAACAGTCATCAAGTGCTGTTCCTAAGAATATTGAAAATAAAACAAAACAAACAGACAAAAAGCTACCCTATTTTACAAAGCAATTGTTTTAAAGGATAAACTTCAATCATCTACAAATGATGAAAATAAATCTATTCTGATGATAAAGTAAAATCTACACAATGTTGGGTTGTGGCAAATCTTAGTATTATTAGTGAGTTACAAGGTTGCAAGATATAATAAATACTTTCATATTTTCTGCTCTTCAAATGATTTTTTTCATGTCCTTATAGCTACTTTCTTTCTAATTTGCCTATGTGGATTTCTTTCTTTCATTTTTTTTGTAGTGTAGGTTACAATTCAAGATTATAAATCAGCAATATAAAGCCCTTCCTTCCCTCCTTCCTTCCTTCCTTCCTTCTCTCTCTCTCTCTCTCTCTCTCTCTCTCTCTCTCTCTCTCTCTCTCTCTCTCTCTCTTTTATTCTTTCTTTCTTTCTTGGATTTAACTCAGGGGCACTTAACCACCAAGCCACATCCCCAGCCCTTTTTATGTTTTGTTTTTAGACAGTCTGCCAAGTTGCTGAAGCTTGCTTTGAACTTTTGATCCTCCTACCTCAGCCTCCAAATTTCTGGGATTACAGGTGTGCTCCACCACACTCAGGTATAAAGCCTTTCATGATGCTATAAAGTCCTGCCTCAAAAAACAATGGAGTGCTTTGGCATTCCAGAAGTGATGATGGGCTCGGTTAAGACAAAGTAAGGGAATCCTTAGAAGGTCAACACTGACGGGCATCAAGGGTACTGTCTGTGCAAAGCATCTACCTTTACCTCTGAGCAGTAACCCTTGCATACTTAGTCATTCCTTCAACAAGTGAGGATCCACCAGGATGGATGATGGCTGGAGATGATGGTGACCCAGTTCAGAACATGAAGTGGTTCCTGCGTTTAGCAGGAAGAGATGATATTAAGAAGTAGAACATGCCAGGGAAGTAGACTATGCCAGTTTGTATAGCACCTTGTTGGCCACAGTAGAGTATGGGCTTTATTCTACAACAGGTAGCCACTGGTGAATTTTGAATAGAAATATCATATCAATTAATCAATTTTTTAAAAAAAAGATCACTCTGACTTATATATGGACAATAGACTACAGAAGAGTAAGATTGAGTGCAGGGGATGCTAAAATAGTATTAAAAGGGAGAGGCAATGGGTTTGAATGATATAGGTAGAGATGATGAAACATGATCTTGACAGGTATGAGCTTGGTACTGTAATGATTTACTATGAGGCTTAAAGAGATTAAAATAATATGCTCCTAATAGGTTGTTGAAGCTGGTGAAAAATCATTTTTCAGAGCCATTAACCACTGCACTACAATATTTAAAAGGAGTTTTAATGAGAAAAAAATGGTGATTTATTAGTTACCAAGACTCAAACTTCAGATACATAGATCATCCTTCATATTTAGAATGACATGTATTATATTGCAATTATTCAATTCTGAATTTGGCACAATAAGGTAATTAGCAGTATTAGCAACTGAGTGCAAAGGACTTTATTTACCAAGCATTTTCACTCCTATTACTCCAGTCAGTTTAATATAACTGCCATGGTTAGGTGATATCAAAGATAATCATGTGTAACAATGTTAAGATAACTGCAAAATAAAAATATCTACTTAAATGGTTACATTTACAGCATCACTGAATGAATCTTTATGTTTCCCATTAGCCTGCTTTCTCATTTTAGGTAGATATTGTGTCTTCCTTGCTTTTTAAACATCAGTCCCAATGTGCATGAAAGGATCTCAATAAATACTGGTAGAATAAATTAAATTTCCACTTATGTGTCAACAGATTTTAGAATTAAGTGCTATGTTAGGAAAACAAAATTGAAAAAGACTTTTTTTAAACTTCTCCCATGGTGTTTAAGGAGAATAAAAGCAATTCACATGAGCCCCCCAAAGTATTTTTCTTTTAAGTATCTTAGAATTTTGAAGGTAGTATATACATTATGGCAATAGGCAGTATTTCATCTCTGGGGAAATAACAGATTTCAATTATTATGTTATGGCAAAACAGTGAAAACCATGGGTCCCATTAGATTAGTAAAATCCTTATAAGTCAATTTAAAAAAAAAAAAACATGTTTCCATTTTTGGGAAAAAAAAACCCCAACAACTAAGCAGGATTGGTATGATATCATAGATGAAAAACTTTGGATTCCTCATACATAAACCCCAAACAGACTTTGCAAGTCATACTTACACTATTTCAGCATTTAATTTTTAAAATGCTACAAATTATTTAGAAATAATAATGCCAAGCATCAGAAGATTAAAATATTGAAATGAGTCAACTGTGTAATACCAAGAATGAGCGAGTCAGACCTTCATGCATCAATATGGGTGGATCTAAATAGAATGGGGGTGAAGGCAAGGTGCGGAAGAACATCTACAGCTTGGTGCCATTTATAGGCACTCTTAGGACGTAAATAACTGTATGACCTTTGGCTCATACACAAGTCACAGAAATATTAAAACACACTTAGGAAAGTCTCAGTATGTTTAACACTGTGAAACTTCTTAGAAAGAAGGGAAGGACAATAAAAGAAAGTAAGGAGCTGGGCATGGTAGCACACATCTGTAATCCTAGGGACTCGGAAGGCTGAGATAAGAGGATCCCAGGTTCAAGGCCATTCTGGGAAATTTAACAAGGCTGTAGCTATTCAGTAAGCATTTGTTTAATTCAGATGGCAAATATTTATTTTTAATATATCATTCAATTTTTAATATGTTGCTTTGAAATTTTCTTTCTTAAAAAAAGCAATAAAGAAATAAAAACAAAAAAAAAACCCATTTCTGTAGCCAGTTTAAGATTGTATATTGAGTGCTTCTAATAAAGACAAATTACATTAAAATATATTTCATGGCATGAGAAATCATTCATTTGTAATGTTTTTGTAATTTTATTCTGCTTTTATCATAAGGATTTCGAGTTTAAAGAAAGATGGAAATAAAGTGTCTGTTTGTAAAATGACCTTAAATGTTTCTTTATTTACTCATGAAATAATTGTCTATGTGACAAGTACAAATATAAGAATTTGCATTCTATGCATTTACTGCACATTCAGCAAATGCTCTCTAGTTTTTTCTTCCATAAATTCAAATAGAACTGCATGCCCCTAATGCATAAAATGGGCATGATCCCTGTAACTAACTCATAGGTCTGTTGGAAGGAATAAATGAATTAAATTATATAAAGAAAGTATGTAGGAACATGATTGGTGTGTAGTAGGTGCTGAGGTGTGATTGGCTAGTGAAACATAGCAGAGATCTTTTCATTCTGAATTAGTTTAAACTCTATGAAGTGTTATCTTAATGATTAAGTCAGTTAGCTGTAGAATTAATAAACGTATTTCTCCCTTACCAAAATGAATTGATATTTACTTAAAGATTTTTTTTTTTTAAATGGTACTAGGAATTGAACCCAGGGACACTGTACCATTGAGCTACATCTGCCTCTTCTCCCTCTCCTCCTTCCTTTTTATAAATTTTGAGACAGGGTCTCCTTAAGTTGCTGAAAGTCTTGCTCAATTGCCCAGGCTGGCCTCCAACTTGGAGTCCTTCTGTCTCAGCCTCCCACTAAGATTACCAAGGTGTGCCATTGTGCCTGGTTTATTTAAAGAATTTTTTTTTTTTTTTAAGAAACAAGTTAGCAAAGGTTATTTTTCACAGTTTTGGGTAACTCATTTGTAGAAGAGAAAGTAAGGTCTTACCTATTCAAGAAAGTGGTAAGATAGTCAAGTTTGTTATGTTGTGTCCTCAAAAGGTTGATAATATGTTCTGGCTTCTTTCTGTTAAAAAAAAATAGAAAAAAATATAGAAAGTTAATAATTTAATCCCCGATACACATGCAATGATTATATCCTATAACTCAATATAAAATTGAACTCCTTCAATTCAACTTTTTATATCAGATAAGTGTGAGACTACTAGATGGATTTTATTATGGTTCTTAATAGTCCTCGTATGTTGAGTATTTATAATTTGATAGGTACTATCTCAGATGCCTGAGGTAAAGCACTGAAAATACAAACTGGTCCATGCTTTATCTCACCTTTAGCTTAACTTCAATGATGCTTCATAAGTACTAAATCCAAGGAAGAGTAGATTTCTAAATTGTTTTCAGCTAGCAAACAGCAGGCAATTGTACTCTCTCTGGAGATAATACATTTGTCTTGATAAATCTTTGTTTAATTTTATCTAGTAAATTTTAAAGGACTGAGGCCTTTAGCTCAGTCTGTATTGATGCTGTCGAGCACAGGGTGGAGAGAAATTATTCAACAACTTATTAAATTTTCTCTATTGAGTACTAAACTTATTTTGACATTCAGAATCCTAAAAGTCCTTTTGTATTAGTAAGTTCTCCTTAGAAATGCCACCTAGAGCCATACAGAATACTTCTTATTGAAGTGGTACCTAGAAATAAACAGAATTAACTAGAGGGCACTAGGCTTATTTTCTGTCTCATAAACCACTCAGGTTTAGTCATTATATCTGCAGGGAAGACCAGAAAGACGGATTAAAAAGCTGAGGCCCATTTTGAAGTCCGGCTCTTATACAATAGAGGTATCTAAATAAATCTGTGTATTTTGAGAGCCTTTAGGTCCCTGAATGGACTGTATTACACGCTCAAGGAAAATAAAGCACTGAGACTAAAATTGTGATAGCTACTAACTCTTCTTTGAGCCCAAGCAGGAAATGCAAACTTGGGAAGACAGATAAAGATGGCTCAGTTCTTCTCTATGACTCTTTAAAGAGTGATGTAAGCCTGGCATGGTGGTATACCTCTGTAATCACAGTGACTTAGGAAACTGAGGCAGGAGGATTGCAAGCTTGAGGCCATCCTCAGCAATTTAGTAAGACCCTATCTCAAATAAATAAATAAATAAATAAATAAATAAATAAATAAATAGGGCTAGGAATGGAGCTCAGTGGTAGAGTGCCTGTGGGGTTCCATCCCCAGTACCAAAAACAAAAAATAAACAAACAAACAAAAAAACACAATGAGAATAAAGGTATTTATTTAAAAGCAACAAATGTCGACTGGGCCAGGTTCTACATTAAGTGCTTTTACATGTATTGCTCATTTAATCTGTGAGCATTCACATACAATGTGAAGCAACACACAAGTCTATAAAGTTGGAAAGGTTTAACAGTTACATAAACATAAAGAAAATCCTGTAGGTAAGAAGACACATGGTAGAATTCTCCATTCCCTATAATAATTTGACTTATTTATTTATTTATTTATTTATTTATTTATTTATTTATTTATTTTTGGTACTGGAGATTGAACTCAGGGGGCACTTAGCTACTGAGCCACATCCCCAGCCCTATTTTGTATTTTGTTTAGAGACAGGGTATCACTGAGTTGCTAAGTGCCTTGCCATTGCTGAGGTGGCTTTAAACTCATGATCCTCCTGTCTCAGCCTCCTGAGCCCCTGGGATTACAGGCTTGCGCCACTGTGCCTGGCAATAGTTCGATAATTATTTTAGCAAGAAATGTTTGACTGCTGAAATCTTTGCATACAGTTTCTTTTCCCCTTTAATTCTCAATATTTCTTGATTTTGGGATATATACATGTAAGATTGTCACATAGAGTTTAAATAAACAATAATTTAGGGCCATTTAAAAATATTTTGAGGATAGATAGTTTTTGCATTGGCTTTTTCTTGCTAAGATAGAGTTACCTGATAAGAACAATTTAGAAGAGGAAAATTTTATTTGGGCTCAGGGTTTTACAGGTTCAGTCCATGGACAACAGACTCCATTACTTAAGACTGAGGTGAGGAAGAAATGCATAACAGAATACCCTGGTGGAAGAAAGCCGCTCAGCTCAAGGCAAATGGGAAGCAGAGAAGGAGAGCAATCCCTGGAGCCAGGGACAAAATATAATACCCAGAGCATGCCCCCAGTGATCACTTCCTCCAGTCAGGACACAAACCTCTACCACCAAGTACAGTAGACCTTTCAAATTATTAATCTATCAGCACAGGAACCTGTAATCTCAGTGACTTGGAAGGCTGAGACTGAAGGATTATAAATTTGAGGCAAGACTCAGCAATTTAACAGGATCCTCAGCAATTTAGTGAGATCCTGTTTTAAAACATAAATAAATAAAAAGGAGTGGGATTGTAGCTCAGTGGTAAAGTGTCCTTAGGTTTAATCCCCAGTACAAAAACAAAGAAAACAAACAATAAGAACAACAAAAAAACTATCAAATATATTAACCCACTGATGAGTTTGCAGCTCTCATAATCTAAAATCACTTCTATTCTGAATATTCTTGCATTGCCTAACATGACTTTTTTGGAAGAAACCTCATATCTAAATCACAGCAGTTTTCATTACAAGAAAATTAAACTTTGTAGGTTGATTTTAGAACAAAAATAAAATGGTAAATCAGCATTGACCCTTTTTCAGATAGAGCCTTCGGATATTTAATAAATACTGAATCAAATACCATACTTTATTTTTTCTTTCTTTCTTTTTTTTTTTTTTTTTGTTGTTGTTTTGTTTAGTTTTTTTGATTTTTGTACCAGGGATTAAACCCAGGGGCACTTAACCACTGAGCCACATCTTCAGCACCGACCCTACCCACAATGTTTTTTTGTATTTTATTTAGAAAACAGGGTCTCACCGAGTTGCTTAGGGCCTCATTAAATTGCTGAGGCTGGCTTTGAACTCACGATTCTCCTGTCTCAGCCTTCCAAATTGCCGGGATTACATGCACATGCCACCATGCCTGGATATTTTTTCTTTAAATTCCATGTTTTCCTTAAATGCTTAAAAGATGGGCTAGGATTGTGGCTCAGAAGTAGAACACTTGCCTAGCACGTGTGGGGCCCTGGGTTCCATCCTCAGTACCACATAAAAATAAATGAATGGAATAAAGGTATTATATCCCACTTAAAAAATTAATAAAAAATACTTAAAATATCATGTTTTTGTTATTTTCAAGCAAGTATACATGCATATGAATAAGTGGGCAATTATATGTTATAACTGTGTGCGTGTGTATATGTGACCCTAGTAAAAATAAGGAGAGAAAAATAAATTTTATGAAGTAGGGATCAGCAAAGTATGGCCCATGAACTAAATCCTTTATGTCATTGCCTATTTTTCTAAGCACAATGCTATTGTCACAGAGCCCTGCCATTTATTTCGGTGTTGGTTAGAGCTGTTTTGATGTTATATTGCTAGAGCTGAGTATTTGTAACAGAGATGGCATGGCTGGAAAATCTCAAATAGTTACTATCCAGCCCTTTAATTAAACTTTGTCTAACATACCTGATATCAAAGATCATGTTCATTTGAGTAATTTTGAAAGCAATGAGTTTTTTGAAAATCCTGTCTTTTAGTCTTTTCAAAAATTAACTGATTAGTTATACAAGAATGGAAGTGATATTGCAGCTCTAAACACCTACCAGTCAATTTCACCTCACAGGAGCTGGAAAATTGCCGGATGCAGTGGCGCAAACCTGTAATCCTAGTGACTCAGGAGGCTGAGGCAAGAGAATCCCAAGTTTGATGTCAGACTCAGCAAATTAGCCAGACCTTATCTCTAATTTTTAAAAAATTTAAAGGGCTGGTGTTGTAGCTCAGTGATAGAGTACCCTTGGGTTCAATCTTCAGTACCACCCCCCTCACACACACACACAAAAGGGAAATTACTGGTCAAAGCATGTGATGATTATTAGAAGTCAGTACCCATTCATCATAAAAAATTGCCCTCCAGAATCTTGATTTTTATGGGGGTTTTGTTTGTTTGTTATAAAATGAAAATGACTACTTTTTTTTCCGCTAAACTTTATTTCCTGAGAAAGAGATAAATGCCATCTGGGATTCATTTTAAAAAGCAATTTACAAACAGTTCCATAAGTTACATAAAATTGAATAGTCATTTTAAATTATCATAATGCAGTTATTCCATATCCAAAGGACTAAATCACTTTAACATAGCTTGTGTTATGAGTATTATTTGGCACAGTTTTAGTATTAGATACAATGTATAGAGTGGCCGCTACATCCCTAAAATAATATGAACAAATATTTATAGAGCTTTCATTGTGTGTGCCAAAGTTTTTAGCACATACATATTAATTTATTTATTCCTCACTATCAGCCTCTATTATTATCCCTAGTTTACACATGAGAATACAGGCCAATATAAATGTGTCCATCCCAGCAACTACCAAGTATCCAAACCTTTTAACTATTTAGCACCTCTTAATAGATGCTGAAAATCTGTTTCAGGTCTTCAGCTCTGATTTAAGATACTTTCAAGATAAAGGCTTGGGGCTCCCCTGGGAAGCATTATTTCATCAATGGCAACTTTCAATCTACTAGAAATACTTACTAAGCACATTTATTATTCAGCCCTTTAGGCTTCTTGGACAAATTGAAATTTACTCAGCTGTGGTTCTGCCCTTTTCTCCATTATTGCTCTCAGGTGACTTATGCCACTTTGCAGAAACTCTGAGGGCTGGATATAAATACTGTAGAGAATCATGACTCTCTCAACTCCTGACAAAGTCAGTTGCTAAACACATTTAAGAGCTAGCCTGCCCAAGATAGAGAAGAGGATCTATATTGTGCATTGGCATCAAAAAGAAAGTGCAGCTGGACATGGTGATGCACACCTGTAATCCCAGCAACTCAGGAGGCAGAGGCAGGAGGATCACAAGTTGAAGGTTAGTGTGGGCAATTTAATGAGACCCTATCTCATAATAAGAAATAGAAAAGGCTGCTCAGTGGTAGAGCACCTCTGGGTTCAACCCCCAGTGTCTA